ATTAATTCAGAAAATCTTTTCAGGACCCCACCTTGATGTTTCGGGACCCCACTTTGGGTCCCGACCCCAACTTTGGGAAACACTGGCTTAAACCATACTATGGAGCTTATAACTAAACAATGTTTTTGCTTCATTTGGCTGGAAATAACAAGAAAGTTTATGGAAAAAAAACTGTTGTAAATTTGTGTTAATCTTTCTTATTATTTGTAAGATCCTAACAGCAATACCCTGGATGATTTTATTAAACTGATAGTTTTTCTCAATTCGATTTTTTAAAAAAGTCATCACTAGAGAGAGGACTGGAAGGTGAAATTTGAAGCCACCACAGCTGAGCTAACCATGCAAGGTTTCCTGCAGTGTGAGCTTCAGCCCTGCACTTCTATGTAAATGACATTTGCATCAATAAAAATATGTAAAACTACACTTCAGATATATTTTCAGCTGTTGGTTTCTGTTGAGATCACATAGCTCTTACTACTTACACGTAGCTTATATGCATTTGTTAAATGTGGTTAGTTTTAATTAATTATTTTAGGGTTTGGGAAATCATCATGTTACGCTGTGACTGGGCAGCCTGTTTGAGTTGGGAGGATGTGGAGGCAAGACTTTCATTTTAACCCCATTACTTGAGTGCGTAGATTCAGGCAGCATTCCCCCCCCACCRCCCCCACCCCCCAAAAAATACATTTTGGTGTTAATTCTGAATAATGGTGAAAGCACTTGTCCATTTTTATCAATGCATCCAACCAATAAGTTCAAATTCTAACATAAACACTGACATACCCATGAAGTACCACAAGGGGGCAATAATGTTATCATTAAAATTTCAAAACACAAAATTGTTGTGACTTTTAGTGTACACAGTGATTTTGGGTATAGGCACAACATAGGCTGCAAAAGCATTTTTCTTTCTCCTCTTGACAAAACTCTTCAAAAATTAATGTTATGCGTCAGCAAGACTGCAGTTTTCTAAAATTTATGTAAAGTGTGACAATTATAGCTTCGAAATCTCCAAGAAAAAGATTTTAGAGACAGATTGTTTATGACATTTTCTCTTTTTTTATAGCTTATAACTACAGATCATCAGTGTCAAAGTATATTATGTGCCTGTTTAAAAAGAGAACTGACAAAATGACCGTGTGAGATGCTCTGGTAATTAAAGCATGTTGCAAACAATAAATAAAGCTTCATTGAGTTTGTTTTGTAGACTATTCATGGTACTGGCTTGTGTGCACAATTTGATTGAAAAGGGTTTAAATCATCACCACTTGCACTAACTGATTACTCAAAAGGACCTCTATATCATAGAAAGCACACTATAAATAAATGTCTATACAAATAGCAGTGTAGTTGTTGTGTATTTCACTAATGCTGCACAGGGCCAATGTGACATCCACCATCTCCAGCGCAGCTGCATGCTTCATCCTCCGTGTCTTACAGCATAAGCATGGTAGTTGTGCAGCTGAAGTGGGCTGACAGTGTTTTGACAAGCAAAGCATTTAATTGTATTGGATCTCTGTGAATGTATCCAAGTGGCCCACATCCCCGCTCTGCTGAAACTTGTTCCCTGACATGTCAAATATGTCTCCACTCAAGGGACCATCAGGGATAAGGAAATAAGGATAGAGGAAACAATTAGGTCCAAAAAATCAGTAGGAGATATATTATAAGCTTGTTATGTTTCATACAGCAGAGCTGTATGTTGGTTATTCTGTTTGTGCAATAATACATATTGCTATATTTAGAATATGTAACCAATTGGTGCACTGTGACTATCTGTAAATGGTATTTTATTTTTCACTTGTGGTCATTTACTAAATATAACATTTTTAATAACCTACTTTCTGTTAGATAAAGTTATTTCTAAGTGCTGACAGTTGCTACAATAAGTGTGTCACTTGTGTGTCTAAAGTGCCTGCTCATTAAAACACAAAAATAAATATAAGGAGTTGCTGCTCTCTGCTGCATAGAAATGCATCATAAAAATAAAAACAGCACAATGATTTTGGCCTTTTGAAACTTAAGCAGGAACAACTACTGCACTTAGAAAAACAAGAACTCCGTCCCAGACTCTCTATTGCAATGATTTGCTGTTGAAGTAAA